TCTTCCGGTGGTCTGGCTTAGCTTTAAAATGCTTCCCTTTCTTTATTACTTGGTGATTCAAAGGAAGGAATCGACGATGACCAAAGTACACGACCTTTCGACATCTTTTCAAATATATACTGTCAAGGTCATCAAAACAATGTGTGCATGCATTATATCCTTTGTTTGTCTGACCTGAAAGATTACTTAAAGCAGGCCAATTATTGATTGTTACGAACAACATTGCTCGTAGGTCAAAGTGTTCTTATTTGTACTCATCCTAGACACGTACACCTGGTTTGTTCCATAAAACTAGAAGTTCTTCAACTAATGGCTTCAGATAGACATCAATGTCGTTGCCAGGTTGCCTCGGACCTTGGATGAGGATCGGCATCATAATGAACTTCCGCTTCATGCATAACCATGGAGGAAGGTTATAGATACATAGAGTAACTGGCCAAGTGCTATGACTAGTGTTCTGCTCCCCAAAAGGATTCATACCATCTGTACTTAAGGCGAACCTTAAGTTTCTAGCCTCATTTGCAAACTCTGGAAATTCCCTGTCTATCGCTCTCCACTGGGATTCATCAGCTGGGTGTCTCAGCATATTGTGTACCTTAAGGTCTTCTTTATGACACCTTAACAACTTTGCATGGTCTTTATTTCTGAACAAACGTTTTAAGCGTGGTATTATAGGAGCATACCACATAACCTTGGCAGTGATTTTCTTTCTAGGACGTTGTTCACCCTCGACGTCACCAGGATCATCGCGCCTGATCTTATACCGTGATGCTTTACATACCAGGCATTCATCTAAATTCTCGTATTCATTGCCATGGTAGAGGATGCAGTCATTAGGACATGCATGTATCTTCTGGATTTTTAATTCCAAAGGGCAGACAACCTTTTTTGCTTCGTACATAGTGGTGTGTAATTCATTTGGCTTCGGAAGCATCTTCTTTATGAGGTTCAATAAATTCCCAAATGCCTTGTCGGATACACCATTCTTTGTCTTCCACTGTAGCAATTCCAGTGTTGTACCTAGCTTTTTTTGCCCCTCTTCGGCCGTCGGGTATAGCAACTTCCTATGATCCTCAAGCATGCGCTCGAACTTAACTTTCTCTTTTTCACTTTCACATTCTTGTTGTGCATCACGAATGGCATCGCCAAGAGCATCACCGAGATCATCTTCTGCCGCTACCTCTTCTTCATCTCCCCCCATTGTAGTATCATCAAAGGCACCATACCGAGCAATAATGTCATCAATGTCTAAATCCTCTCCTTCACCTTCTTCCATCATGACCCCGCTTTCTCCATGCTTACTCCAACATATATAGTTTAACATGAAACCTGACTTAAGCAAATGTGAATGAAGACTTACTGAGCTTGAATATTCCTTTAAATTCTTACATAGGGCACATGGACATCACATGAAACCATCCCGCTTATTTACCTCAACCACACCTAAGAAATAGTGCACGTCCTCAATAAAGTCTTGGGAGCGGCGATCGGCATTGTACATCCAATGGCGTGACATAATCTGCATTACACGACAAATTATGAAAACCTTGAACATAATTAAGTATTTTATTACACAACATAGATGACACACACATGGTTGATTAATTAATTAAGCCTGGCTACAACGTAAGCAATCCCAGCTATCACTAAACAAACTAAAACTAAAATGCACTTTAGTAACATAATTATTTTGTGACCGTACGCAACTAAAACAGACAAATCATTCGTCTGTTGAATATCAATAAGCTTCTCCTGCTGGCTCACTGCCTCATCATCAGCAGCCGCTACCTCAAGCGCACCCGTCTTCCTCCCAGTACCAACCATCGCATCCATTGCCCTTCCACTGAAATTAAAGCCAAAAAATATTTAGTCAAAAATATTCAAGAAAAGCAGGTCAATTAGCCATAATAATCAAATGCGTAAGAAACTCACATCGCGATCCGGGCACTTGTAGAAAACACGACCCTTGTTGGGTCCCTATCTCTTGACTCGGTACTCCATCACAATCTTCTGCTTACACTTGCCGTAGATAATGAGAGGGAGTTCTGGCCTCAGTCGTTTTGCAACAGAACGAGAGGCCGAGGATCCGGTACCAGTTGTCATCTACTTTCTATACTTATTTTTGTAAACTAGTGTAAATTTTACATTTTCTAAAATAATATATTTAAACAAAACTAAAATTATTTATTTATCTAACTAAACCATGAAATATGTACTATGTATAATAGTAAAATATCAAACTATCAAGTGATTTTACTATTGTAAATCATTATGTGATTTTGAGCTAAAAATGGCATAGAAATCATAATCAAATCCATCATATCAAGTTACTTTCTATACTTATTTTTACAAACTATTGTAAATTTCTCATTCCTAAAGTAATATATTAAAAAAAATAAAAATATTTATTTATCTAACTAAACCATGAAATGTACTACGTATACTAGCAATACTAAACTATCAAGTGATTTTGATGAACTAATTTAACTTTTGTTTATCCAAACATATATGCAAATCATCATGTGATTTTGAGCTAAAAATGACATAAAATCGTAATAAAGTCCAACATATAAAGTTACGCATGCATCTACATCATAAAATGAGATAAGCTACTGATAAAACATAAGAGGATTAAGTTTGTTACCTCCAAAATCGAAGAGCAACACTAATGGAGGGGGAGAGAGCAAGAACAACAACAAGCTGAAGAACAGAGGCAGTGAGTTTGAATGGAATGGCTCAGGCTCAGGGAGGAAGAAATGAGGTAGTCTATAGGCCGGGATAATTAGTCCCGGTTAGGGGGGCAAACCGGGACTAAAGATTAATCTTTATTCCTGGGGCATCACCCAAACCGGGACTAAAAGCTTTAGTCCTAGCTGTTATTATCAACCAGGACTAAAGGTTTACCTTTAGTCCCGATTGGTAATACCAGCCGGGATTAAAGATTCCTGCTCCACGGACGACTGTTGGGCAGGAACCTATTACCAACCGGGACTAAAGGAATATTTAGTCCCGGGGGCAAAAAAAATGTCGAGGCTAATGCCAAATTAGAACATCGTTCTAAAGTCTGTTCTCTAGTAATGTTATAAGAGAAGCGAACAGAGCCTAAATTTAAAAGAGTTTGACTCTATGAGAAGCGTGATTATTTTGGAACTAAATGAGAATATATTAAATACCAAACTAAAACACCATGATCCACGGATTGACGCACAAAATTACATAATCGTTTTTTACATGTAAATATTAAATTGCTTGATAATTTTAGATGTGTTTATTGGTAACATTTCATATACATGTGTTACTACTATAATATCAATTTTTAAGAGCCCTCGGTCTACGATTTCGCTCCAGGTCCTCGAATCTTCAGGACCGGACCTGAGTTTATGCCATTACACATGTATCTTTCTTGGCATAAGGATACACAATGTGCCGCCTGGGTTACCTCCGATCATCACACGCATGTGATATGCGAGTCACATTGGTGAACTAAGAAAGTGATCTAAGCCCCGTTTGCTTAAACTTATCAGCCGATTTTAATACCAGCCGAACAGGCCCTTATGTTATGATTTTGGTTTCTAAGATGACTTCCTTTTTTTGTTCATGCTTCTATTACATTGCAAATGATTTGTTATTTGTCAGTATTTTCTTACTTGCAAAAGATGTTTAGTAACAAGTTTCATGCATGGAGCGTAGCTTAATAATCTCTACCTAAATTCTTATAAGATGCGCTAGAAAATAGATAAATTCTACGCAATAAATAGAAATGTCTAACCTTTAATTTTGCAGACTGTAGTCATCGTTGCAATGATAACCACTAGATCTATTATGTTTTATAAAAACATTACCACATCTACCATAATTAAAAATACATAAAGTAACCCTCTAATTTTAAATCTAAATTACCCACCAAAATCATTACGAAATATAAATAAAAATAACCCCCTAAATTATAGAACTCGATGTGATTATAGTTAATAGATTTTTTGAGAATTACGCAGTACAACGCAGATACTCACATCGCACGCATACTCACCCCTACGAACACACGTAGGCAAACCATATCCCTATGAGATAAAGTCACCATAGGTGCCTCGCTGTCGACGGGGACGTCGCCTACCACTGAAAGTATAGCGTCGTTAAATCCTTCCTGGAATAAATAAATCCAAAAAAATACGAGCACCCGTGGCAGTCGAGGACTTGAACCCGGGTGGACAGGTTCCACCACAAAGAACCCAACCAGCTGATCTATGATCAGTTCACAATAGATTTTTTTATTTGAAACCTTTAGAGTCACGAATGTTTGTTTTAAGTTCTTAGGTTTTAAAATTCAAAATTTAGAATTTTCATATGGCATTGGGTATCGACATGGTGTATAATAAAGTTGGAGTGCTCGACGCGATCCACATGTCGGGTAATTAATGATCCGTTCAAACACAGGGCCGGTTTGATTCCCTTGGCTAAAGTTTAGCCCAGTGCTAAAGATTAGCCCTTTAAAATGAAGGGGCTAAAGTTTAGCCCCTGGGCTGTTTGGATACATGACTAAAATGTGAAATAGAGGCGAGAAAAGGAGTAAAGGCACATGTTAGCACTTTTAGTCCTCTTTAGCCTATCTTACAAGGGCTAATGGGCTAATGAAGGGCTAAAGATTAATCTCTCCTCTTAGCCCTCCTGTTTAGATCCTTAAGGACTAAAAAATAGCTAAAAGTAGAGGGCTAATCTTTCGTCCATTGGATCTAAACAGGGCCACGATTCCATTCTGCTGTCACTCTAGCGAATCAATAGGCCAACATGGCAACATGCATCTCTGTATTGCGTCTCCACTACCACTAGAGAGCACAAGGATTACAGAAACGTGAAGTACAAGAGACCGCTTAATTTGTAGGGATATAAATCTTCAAAAAAAAGTTGCAGTGATATACTGTAAACCATCTCCATGTAAGGACTTCACGCAAATCTACATGACTGATCGAGTTCCGGGGATCAACACAACACGGTGGCCTGCTCTACTGCAGGCTGCGTAGGTGGTCCATGGCCTCCGCGAGCGTGCGCGCGAAGCGTGTGATGTCGAGGCGAACGTCCTGCTTGGTCATGTAGATGTCGAACATGGCTGCCCAGCCTTTGCGGTGGATGGAGTCCGGGTCCTTGATCGCCGGGTGGTCGCGCCCCAGCAGCTCCAGCAGCGAGCTCTCCTCCAGGGTGACGTTGTAGCAGAGGTACTTGAGCCCCATGTCCGCCGCCGGCTCGCCGTACTCGATCCTCGCAATCAGGTCCAGCTTCCCCCACGGCACCACCTGGATGAGCACCCCGCCGGGCGGCAGGAACACCTCGTTCGTCATCCCGGCGCCGTGGATGCCCACCATCACGTCGAACGAGTTCACCACCCGCGCCTGCTCGTCCACGGCCGCGTCGATCACCAGATCCGTCACCGTGACCTCGAATCCCGCCGCCTCCGCCGCCCGCACCATCTCCTCCCCGTTCAGGAACCGCCGGGTGCGCTGCCGCTGGATCAGCATCAGCCGCGGCTTCTTGCCCGCCGGCTCCCGGGCCGGGCTGACCGGCGCGCCGCGCGGGAGCGCGTACGCCTCGCGCAGGAACCTGGTGAAGTCAGGCATGGAGACGCGGCGCCGCCCCGGAACCCACTCGGGGACGACCCCGAAGTCCTTGTGCAGGCGGAGGCCCACGGTGAGGTGCGGGAAGCACCGGACGTGGGCGTCGCCGTCCAGGGTCACGACGTCGTACCTGGACAGCCGGCGCAGGGCGAGCCTGTACTTGCCCAGCCACCACGGCTGGACCCGGTTGATGACGAGGAACTGGACCTCGCGGTCGTACCGCAGCGAGGCCAGGAAGAGCGGCAGGAGCACGTCGGCGTTGTCGTGAAAGGCGTTGCCCGAGTACCCGCCGAGCGCGAACACGACGCCCGGGACGTGGTGCGTCACCGTGCACGGCGGGGCGGCCGCCGGGTCCTGCAGCTGCGTCACGTTGAGCTTGTCGACGTTGGACGCGCTCCGGCGCGAGTACGGCCGGATCTTCCACTCCCGGCGCTCCGACGACGACCAGCCCGAGGGCACGATGTCCACCGACCAGGCTTTGCCGTTGATGCGGACGTCGCCATCAACTTCGCAGTAGTCAGATAAGCGCTCCTCCGTGCTGCACACCACCTTGCTGTTGGGCTTCTCTGTTGCACGGCAGGAAAAGCACAAGATTCACCGCGATTAATTCAAACACTTTTGTGAAAAGGGAGACCTTGCCGTGTTAAAAGTCGGATCCGTCACAATTCTCATAAAATCTCTAGCTACTACAAAGATTTGCCAAAATTATTTCACCAGGCCAGACACCTCCAAAATTTTACTGACTATTTAGCCGTGATAAATATAAGGCAAATTTTGATTTCAGTATCGGGAGACACGGTTCACTGTCTCCCACACTTTTACTTCGATACAAACAAGCTCATTTTTTTCCCGGTTTACGATGACGACCTTGGACTCTCGGTCCGAAATTGGGCACGATGAAAATTCAATTGGGTGATTACCTGTTTCACTTGGGCCTTGAATCAGCTGTTTATCCGCGATCTGTTGCTCTTTCGTGGCGACAACTGCAGATTAATCGACAACAAGCAAGCAATCATCAGTTGATGGCCTGACTACCTACAAGTTCTTGTCGACCCTAGTCTTCTCCATGCTGTGTGTAAAAGTGCTCACCTGTTTCACCGAGACCTTGGAACTGCTGTTTATTTGGAGTATTCGAGAGCCATTGTGCTACCGTAGTGACAACTGCAGATTAAGCAATAATAAGCAAACTAACTAAGAAAACCAGCTACGCCGTGACATTTGTGCGAGTGGTTCCTTACCGTTGGGGCGGCTGATGGCAGTCTGCTGCGAGACGACGAGGTAGGTGAGGAGCACGAAGAGGACGCCGGCGATGAGGCCGACGTTGATGTGGCTCTGCACCGAGGTTTTCATGCTCTTCCCGGGGGAGCTTCACCTAGCAGCTGCCTCCTTCTGCCGCTGCTGCTAGTGGTGGTGGTCTGTCGTCGTCTCTCTCTCGGCCGATCCCAGTACGTGGTTAAAACTTAAAACTCAGACGGTGGTAATTAAGCAACTCTCCAGGGTTCTCGAGATCCGGGTCGTCTCCATTACTGTATTTTTTTTTCGAACAATGTCCCTATTATTAATTAACTACTAGTGCTCGGAATTCTATAGCATCCGGGTCAACTCCGATGCAGTGCTGTTCGGAAGCTTCATTAATGCGATCTCTGCAAGTGAGTCGTCCGATCTGGTGTGTGTACTGTTTATAGTGTACTCCTATCAATAGGCAACTACTACATATTTATATGGAAGTGCTATTAGATAGATGTACATAATATGACAATACTTAGCCGGTTCTATTGGCTGATTTAGTGTGAGAGAAAAATATTATTCCAACTTATAATTCACGATCATATACGAGCAAACGATCAGGCTGACTATATATAGCCAACAATTGGCTTTACTAGTCCAACAGTCTGCACAGGATCTTAGCAGACATAATCTTATGCTGGCATAAATGTACATTTGATTTTCAAATTTTAATCTTGTCAGCCGATAAAGATCTTTTATTCGTAAGCTAAATTAAAACTCTTGCGCTTAGTATATCTTTATTAACTCTCTCCTTTGTATTTTATAGGAAACGTTTTAGGTCATAGACGACACTTTTAGTTACAATTTTTAGGATTTCTCTTTTTTAACGTGGTTTGTATTTAGTTGAAATCTAATTATAAAAGCACTTGTTTCGTCGTCTTCTTTGACCATCATGAATCTATATATTAGCTTTCAACTTTGATTTTATTAGTTTTTGTAATTTATTTTATTCACATATTAGGTTGAAACTCTAATAGTTGTTGCATCTTTTATTCAAATCTTTACTTCTTTATTTTATTAAAAAAGATTCTAGGTCCTAGCCAACTCTTAATTATTACTATGAGTCTCTTTGGCAGGGCTCCTGCAGGGGCTTCAGCTCCGGCTCCTGCAGGAGCTGTGCCAAACGCCTGTTTTGGAAAGAGCTCTGCATGGAGAGCCAGTCAAGAGTCGGAGCCATTTTTTGCCTGCGCAGGAGAAGCCTAAAAAACGAGCTTCGCGTGGCTCCTTGCTGTGGGTTATTTGTATAAAAACCCATTTAGAATAAAACCTACAAATTTTATTATCATGAAGTATTATAACTTAAAGCGTATTGTCAGTGCCATTGACGCGTGATTTGTGAAGGAAACATTTCTTCCATCCTTGATAACTATTAAAATAAATGTTTTCGCTTACGAGTTAGCACGAGATCATTAGCCATGCTCAGTGACTAACTTCCTCTGCATGCTTACAAGTTACAGTACGAGACTAGCTATAGCGGCAGCGGTACACAGTACGTCCGATCGGCGACTCGTGCATACTATACTAGGTGTCTTGTGTCTTCAGAGAGAACATACGGTGCCGATGAGCGCACACGTTGCCGCTTGCCTTGCCGGTGATTTCCGTGTGTAACACTGTTGTTCTATCTAGCTAGTTATGATTTTCTCCGTGATCGTGGAGATAGCCGAGGTTGCATGGCTGGCTAGTTATATTAGATTATACGTGGATCGCGTCTGCGGATCAAATTAAATGGTGTGGGCTAGTAATTTTATTCGACGATGATACGATTAGGACGCCCGGATGAACGGACGCCTCGACCGCTCACTCCCGCAGCGCTCGCACTACTCCGCCATTCTTATCCTTTCGCGGCCCACGCCCACACCCGATGACACGGCCATCGCTGCTTCTTGGCCGCTGCCGGCTCCTTCTCCCACCCCCGGCGTCCTCCTCCCCCAACTCAACCAGGTCCTTCCCACACCCCGGCGTCCTTCTCCCCACTTCGGCGGCCCCTTCCCCCACCAAGGCACTCGATGTGGAAGCGGTGGCGACACCCGCTGCAGCGCGCGGGCCGTCGCCGTCGACCGTCGCAGTGGTCCTTGTCGCCACCACCGGCGATGGCCAGGCTCCGGAGCAGCCACCGCTGGCCATTGCCGCTGAACCCGGCGGCCGGAATCGACCGGCGCAGCCTCCCCCTCCCCTATGTCCCCCGACCCCTGGCATCTCCTTCCCCCAACCCCGTCATCCTCCTCTCCCACCCTAGCGGAGCCCCTCCCCCCCACAACGGCGTCCTCCCCCATCGGGAGCCCCCAATGCCCGCAGATGCGGCGCCCATGGCACTCCCCGCGCCAGGCTCTCTCTCTCTCTCCCTATGTTGCAATTGTATGTTTCAATTGTTTCAGGCGTTTTATAGGTATGTTGCATTTGATTCATATGGATGTTGCAAAAGTAGATCGGGGGATGTTGCAATTGTTTCAGAGGCATGTTGCAAGAGTATGTTTTCGAGTGTTTCAGACGTTTTAGAGGTATGTTTCATCTGTGTTTTCCGGATGCAAGTTGCAATTGTGTTTATCTGAATGTTGCATATGTTTCATACATATGTTGCATGTTTTTTGTTCGGATGTTGCGTATGGTTGCAATGGTTTTCAAGTGTGTTTCAGGTGTGTTTTTCAAGTGTTTCATAAGCATGTTTCTAGTGTTTCAACTCCTTCAGACATATGTTGCAACCGTTGTATTTGGATGTTTTAAAAGTAGATCGGGTGTTGCTTCTCTTCTCCTCCCACCTTCTGCTGCATCGCCACTCTCTGAGCCGGCAGGGCATCCATACGAACGAGGGATGGGCGATGGGCGCGTTGGCGACACTGTCTCCAGAGCGAGATGAGCGCTGGGTGGAGGGGGCTGCGTACGTCGCGGTTGGGAGCAGGGGTGCAGGCGCGTGGTGACATGGGGCACGGCGGGCACGCTCTCCTATTGCACGGACGCAGCGGATGCATTCTGTTTCGATGCGATTTTTACATGAGGGGCGCGGTGGATGCATCAAACGGGAGCTACGTCCGGACACAGACATAGGGCCGGACGTCCGGGCGCTAGGCTTGCCGAATTTTATTTGGAGTATTTTTTCGATCGGGAATCGAGTTGCTGGCTCGTGGTTTGCTCGCAGGGGCGGATCTACAGGGTATGCCAGGTATGCACCGGCATACCCTGCAATCCAGCAACTATAGAGTACGTATATATGTGTAGTTTTGAGAAAAAACTTACATGGAAGATGATCAACGGCCATGTGGTGTCTGGATGGTTTCCGCTCACCACTCACGACGCCCATTCCACTTTCCACTTTCAGGCCCACGGCTAACGCGGCCCGCGGCCACAGTCCACATGACCTGACTCCAGCGCCTTGGCCACAACAGAACTTGGGAGTTGGAGTCCATGGCTCGGACGCTGTGGGGGATATACCCCCGGGTACCACAAGATGGTACATGGGCCGCACCATCCGAGGTGGCCCGGCCCGTAAGATCAAGGCGTGCACATCAAGATTACAAGTTGTACTAGATATTGTAATAGTACCAAATTGGATACTTTACTTGTAACCTTGTCTCTTCGGAGTATATAAGGAGAGACAAGGGTCCCCTAGAGGACAGGTGAATCAATATACATCTCAATACAATACACCAAAGACACAGGACGTAGGGTATTACGTCGACCAGACGGCCCGAACCTGTCTAAATCGTTGTCTCTGCGCCTTGTGTCACCATCTGGTTCCAGATCACACGCATCCTACCGATAATCTACCACCACGGGCATCCCCCTCGGTGGACTGCCGACCATATTTCGTCGACAGTGGCGCGCCAGGTAGGGGTCCCCTTTAGGGGCGTGCGTGCTGATCCATGGTGAACTAGATGGAATTTTCTTCACCAACAACGTTAGCCGCAACCCAGCGATGTTTCTTCGACGGACTACGATGATCAAGCCCTGGTGCCAAACGCAACTCGCAATAGCGCTTTGAGCGCGCGGCGGCGGGCGTCCTTCGGCAACAACAACTACAGTCTACAACCGGACTAGCCACGCTTCCTGCGCAAGCTATCTTGGCAGATCGGATCCAGTAAGATATGGCTACAGAGCTCGGAGTACTCAAAGGCGCCATGCGTGGACCAGCCGACAAGATCCCAGAGCAAATCCAAGATGTATCTCACGTGGAGCATGTACACCAAGCAATTAACGACAGAAGAGCGCCCACGTACTCTCATCGGTTGGACATCCTCTCGATGACGTGATGATCTACACCACCATCTTCCATGGCGGTAGGATGGCGTGTACTTGATCTCGCTGGCGGAGGCAGGCAAGACGACGCCAAATTTGGCACAGAAGAACGATGGTTTTGCACCGAACAATGCACAACCGTCCAAGCAAGCTGTTCGAGCCATCCGAACTGTTGAGCAAGCAGCCACGGAGTCATGCAAGCCAATGACAACAAGCCAGCAAGCTAGATCATCATGCAAGCCAAGCCAATCAATCTGTACATGCCTCACGTACATACGAGAAGACATGCAAGCTAAACCAAGATACGACAGATCAACTTGCATATATATGCATCACATGCAAGCTTCACGTACTGGCATCTACGTACATGACCACGCAAGCGGCTACTCGACCCTGATCAAGCTGCGACAAGCAAGCAAGAGTTCCGAGTCTGACGAACACGTAACCTGCATGGCTGCACCGACTCCAGTTGAAACCTTCAACATCGTGCGCCAACCGCCGCGGCCAAGCCGGGAGCATCTCATCTCATGACCACAAGATCTCCGACGGCGACATCATTGCCGAGATGAGATTCCAAGCCATCGAACAAGTTGTCCGAGCCGTTGGCAAGCCACAGCGAGCCATCAAGCAAGCCACGCCGAGCTCCGACCACGTCGACCACGGACCACGTCGACCACATCCCGAGCAGCTCCACCGAGCGTCAACCACCAGACCACGTCCAGACCACGTTGACCACGTCTCGAGCTCCGACCACCAGACCACGTCGACCACGTCTCGAGCGGCTCTACCGAGCTCCGACCACCTCGACCACAAGACTACGTCGCAATGATGAT